TGCCCTGGGTACCATTTATATTTTCACAATATTAAATTTCCAATATGAGCATGGACTATCTTTCTATGTATTGGTGTCTTCCTCAATTTCATTCAGAATTGTTCTGTAGTTTTTAGGGTATAGATCCTTTACCTCTTTGGTTAGGTTTATTCCTAGGTATCTTATGCTTTTGGGTGCAATTGTAAGTGGGATTGACTCCTTCATTTCTCTTTCTTCAGTCTCATTGTTAGTGGATAGAAATGCCACTGACTTGTGGACATTGATTTTTGAATCCTGCCACACTGCCAAATTGCTGAATGAGTTCTAGCAATCTTCGGATAGAGTCTTTTGGGTGTTCTATGTAAAGTATCATGTCATCTGCGAAGAGAGAGTGTTTGAGTTCTTCTTTGCCAATTTGAATGCCTTTTTTTTCTTTTCTTTTTCTTTCTTTTTCTTTTTTTTTTTTTGTCTGATTGCAGAGGCTAGGACTTCTAGTACTCTGTTGAATAGCTTTGGTGAGAGTGGACATCCCTGTCTTGTTCCTTATCTTAGGGGAAAGGCTCCCAGTGTTTCCCCATTGAGAATGATATTTGCTGTGGGCTTTCCATAGATGGCTTTTAAAATGCTGAGGAATGTTCCCTCTATCCCTACGCTCTGAAGTGTTTTGATCAGGAATGGATGCTGTATTTTTTCCAATGGTTTCTTTCTATCTATTGAGAGGATCATATGGTTCTTGTTTTTTCTCTTGTTGATATAATGAATCACATTGATTGCTCTAGGACTCTTGATTCAGCCTTGTATCATGGGGATAAATCCCACTTGATCATGGTGAATAATTTTCTTAATGTATTGTTTAATCCTATTGGCTAGTATCTTGTTGAGAATTTTTGCATCCATGTTCATCAGGGATATTGGTCTATAATTCTCCTTTTTGGTGGGGCCTTTGTGTCGTTTTGGAATTAAAGTGATACTGACCTCATAGAACGGGTTTGGAATTATTCCATCTCTTTCTGTCTTTCTGAAGAGCTTCAGTAGAATAGGCACAGTCTTCTTTAAACTTTTGATAGAATTCCCCAAAGAAGCCATCTGGCCCTGGACTTTTGTGTCTTTCGAGGTTTTCGATGGCTGCTTCATTTTCCTCCCTGGTTTTCAGCCTGTTCAGGTTTTCTATTTCTTCCTGTTCCAGTTTTGATAGTTTGTGGTTTTCCAGAAATGCGTCCATTTTTTTCTAGATTGCCTAATTTATTGGTGTAAAGCTACTCATAATGTTTTTAAAATTGTTTGTATTTCCTTGTTGGTAGTGATCTCTCCTTTCTCATTCATGATTTTATTAATTTGAGTCTTCTCTCTCTTCATTTGATTAAGGCTGGCTAATGGTTTATCTATCTTATTAATTCTTTCAAAGAACCAACTCCTGGTTTTGTTAATCTGTTCCACAGTGCTTCTGGTCTCTATTTCATTGAGTTCTGCTCGAATCTTTATTAACTCTCTTCTGCTGCTGGGTGCAGGATCTATTTGCTGTTTTTTCTCCAGTCCTTTAGGTGCAAGGTTAGTTTTTTATTTGAGTTCTTTATAGTTTTTTGATGGATGCTTGTAATGCGATGTATTTCCCCCCCAGGACTGCTTTTGTTGTATCCCAAAGATTTTGAATGGTTGTATCTTCATTCTCATTAGTTTCCATGAATCTTTTTAATTCTTCTCTAATTTCCTGGTTGATCCTTTCATCTTTTAGCAGGATGGTCCTTATCCTCTACGTGTTTGAAATCCTTCCAAACTTCTTCTTGTGATTTACTTCTAATTTCAATGTATTATGGTCTGAATATATGCAGTGGACCATCCCAGTCTTTTTGTATCAATTCACACCTGATTTGTGACCCAGTATGTGGTCTCTTCTGGAGAAAGTTCCATGTGCATTTCAGAAGAATGTGTATTCAGTTGCGTTTGGATGTAAAGTTCTGCAAATATTTGTGAAATATATTTGGTCCAGTGTACCCTTTAAAGGTCTTGTTTCTTTGGAGATGTTGTGCTTATAAAATCTGTCGATTGTAGAAAGCACCGTATTCAAGTCTACAAGTATAAGTGTATTATTATCTACGTATGTCTTAACTTTGGTTATTAGTTGATTGATATACTCGGTAGCTCCCACATTCGTGTCATAAATATTGAGATTGTTAAGTCCTCTTGTTGGATAGATCCTTTAAGTATGAGATAGTGTCCCTCTTCATATCTCACTACAGTCTTAGGGATAATCTTTAGTTTATCTGATATAAGATGGCTCCTTCTGCTTTCGTTTGAGGGCCATTTGAATGGTACATGGTTCTCCAACCTTTTATTTTGAGGCTGTAGGTGTCCTTAGGTCTAAAATGAGTCTCTTGTAGACAGCAAATAGATGGGTCTTCCTTTTTTATCCAGTCTGAAACCCTATGCCTTTTGATGGGGTCATTAAGTCCATTCACGTTCAGAGTTACTACTGAAAGATATGAAGTTAGTGTCATCATGATACCTATTCAGTCCCTGTTTTTGTGGATTTTTCCCTTGGACTTTCTCTATTACAGAATCCCCCTTAATATTTCTTGCAGAGGTGGTTTGGTGGCCATGTTTTCTTTCACTTTGTGCCTATCTTGGAAGCTCTTTATCTCTCCTTCTCTTCTGAATGAGAGCCTTGCTGGATACAGTATTCTTGGCTGCATGTTCTTCTCATTTAGGACCCTGAATATATCCTTTGTGCCCTTTCTGGCCTGCCAGGTCTCTGTGGAGAGGTCTGCGGTTAACCTAATAGTTCTCCCCATAAAATTTATAGATCCCTTCTCTCTTGCTGCTTTAAGGATTTTCTCTTTATCTTTGTAATTTGCAAGTTTTTGTATTAAATGTCAGGGTGTTGAGCGTTTTTTATTTCGGGGGGCAATCTCTCTATTTTCTGAATCTGAATGCTGGTTTCCCTTCCCAGATTAGGAAAGTTTTTCAGCTATGATTTGTTCAAATACATATCTGTATACATACATATTCTGGACCTCTGTCCCTTTTGTTGCCCTGGGCAACCCCAATTACATGTAGATTTTTCCTTCTGAGGCTTTTATTTCCCTTAACCTATGCTCATGATCTTTTTATTGTTTGTCATTTTTTTTTCCTCAGTTTCCCTCCTTGCCATCAACTTGCCTTCCATGTCACTCACTCGTTCTTCTACCCGTTAATCTTCGTCATTAGGACCTCCAGTTTGGATTGCATCTCATTTAATTGCTTTTTAATTTCTGCCTGATTAGATCTAAAGTCTGCAATCATGAAGTCTCTTGAGTCCTTTATGCTTTTTTCTAGAGCCACCAGTAGCTGTATAATTGTGCTTCTGACTTGGCTTTCTGACACTGAATTGTAATCCAAATTTTGTAACTCTGTGTGAGAGAGGAGTGTTTTTGATTCTTTCTTTTTAGGTGTGTTTTTCCTTCTAGTTATTTTGCTTAGTTTAGAGTGGCTAGAAACAAGTTGTGTTGGGACAAGGAGAAACAGAGAGAAGATACAAAAGGACAGAAAAATGAAAAAAAAAAAAGAAGGAGAAAAAAGGAGAAGAAAATAAAAGAAAAAAGGGGGGGAAGCAAACAAAAGAAAAAACATTGGGGAGTATCCTCTGATTCTATATACTGTAACTCTCTCGACTTCCCCTGGAACTTTCCAGTGCTGCTTGTTTAATAATTTGTTTTTCCCCTGTCCCTCTAGCTGGTTTTCTTGGGGAGGGGTCTTCTGTGCTGATTCTCATGTGTGTGCACCTGTGGGGAGCTGCTCATCCCCCTGCCTGTGCACTGCTCAGTGGAAGTTGTTTATCCTGTTTATCCTGTGAGGCCACTGTGAGGCTCAGTGGGAGTTGTTTATCCTGTGAGGCCCCAGGGGGAACAACAACAGTGGTGGTGGCCAGTTCTCCAGCCTTGTATTCAGCTCCCGCATTACCTACCGGACCTCTCAGTCCGCAGTGGTTCGGATGCTCTGGGCGTGGGGGCCGCTGATCTGCACAGCTCAGCTGCCCAGCAGCAGTAGCGTCCTCATTGTCTTGTGTCCTTCTGGCCTCTGCCTGTCCTGGGGGGAGCAACGCATCCTTGGCTGGGTCCCCTGGGCCGTGCAGTCCCCTCCCCGTGGAGCTGCCGCCCCAGCCGCCACCAAGGTGCTCCTGGGACCCACTGGGCGCACGCTGCAGCCCTTTTGGGAACTCGGCTGTGGGGTGTGGTGCATTCTCCCCAGTGGCGCAGGTCCTCTGTTAGTGTCCCGGGAGCCTGAGGGCATTCCCTCCCCTCCGGGATCCTGCCTCAACTCATTGCAAGCACCTTTCTGTCCGGGATATTGGTGAAGCTCCTGCTTTTCCTGGATGGTCTTTCCTGTCCTAGGGGCATTCGCCAAGTTGCCTTAGCTCGCTCCTCTTGGGGGCCCTCCCTCTTGGATGCCTTTTATTTCTTTAAATTGTTTTCCATCTTCCTACCATGATAGAAGTGGCGAACACTCTTCTCACCCTGTTCGACGCATCCTCCGCACGCTGCTCTCTCTCTTTAAATCTTAAGCCGAGGGTTCCCTGGGTGGTGCAGCGATGTGGCGCCTGCCTTTGGCCCAGGGCGTGATCCTGGAGACCCAGGATCGAGTCCCTCGTCGGGCTCCTGGTGCATGGAGCCTGCTTCTCCCTCTGCCTGTGTCTCTGCCCCTCTCTCTCTCTCTCTCTGTGTGACTATCATAAATAAATTTAAAAAAATTAAATCTTAAGCCAAATTTGTAGGTTTTCAGGATGATTTGAAAATTGTCTAAGTAATTTGGCGGTTACAGGTGACTTGGGACCCTACTTCTCCGCCGTCTTGCCCCCTCCGACCATATTTCTTCCTACACCATAATCCTGACCCCAGTGTTATGAAAATAATCTGGTGCTTTTGATTTCCTGAATGACCTGGGAGGTCAGAAGCAAATGACATTCCACTTATTTAATACATGAATTTGTTTAAAACTTTCTCATAGCTATGTTATTAAATGGATATTTATGATGGTAATCATTGCAGTTTGATGAAGAATTCACAGCTCGACAGGTAGCTCAAGCTGAGCTTCAAAAAAGAGAAGAAAAAATTAAAGAGCTTGAATCAGAAATCCAGCAACTTCGAACCCAGGTAATGATAGAAGATATAGACTTTATGTCATGTAACAGTGAGTTTCCTGGTAGAAAATTGTCTTGTTAGATGGAAGGAAAAATTTCACCAGAAGCAGACTTTTTTGGAGTTTTGCATTTTAGATGAAATAACTCTACAGATTTGATTTTCCAGGATAATAAATAATTTTACTGTTTTTGGATAAAAGTAAGGCATTAGTTACCTAAACTTCCTTGAATATTTTAATATAATATATTACACAAGGACGACTGTTTAGGTAATGAAGGTTTCATGATGATTTGAAAAATTGAATGCATAATTTCAAAACCTAGAAACTTTGTATTTCCAGCTGCATCACCTATGATGGAAAGCACTCATATACTCTCAAGGTCCTAGTTATGGTGTCTAAACTTTACAACCAATGTAGTCCTCTCAATACTTTTTAATTTATTTTTATTTCTTTAAAATACCCTCAGCAGTTTTTATGTTTTAAGTGGTTATTAATAAATGGAAGATTACTATCGTTGGTGAGAAAAAATATCCTTTCTCTATGTATGCATTCCCTTTTTAATTTTTCCTGCACATTGTAACATATAAAGCCCATTAGTGAAAACAATGATTGAGAGAAAAATGGAAGAAAAAAATGTTCATTAAAACACAAAATTAAACCACATAAATTTTGAAGGTCTAATTGGTTTTATTAAATGATTTATGAATTTGCATCATTCTATTTAGTCAGCATTGGGGAACTATACGGAATTGTAAAAAATGAAAGATTTTTATGGAAAGGAGGTGGGCAACAATGTTATTAGGAAAGGAAAGGATTAACTAGCAAAGCTATCATGGTTGCCATCCTGAAGATATCTTCTGCTATAAGGAAGAAAAAAGCCTTATCCATTTGCTCCTCCCACCTGACAGCCATCATCATTTTCTATGCAGTCCTTTCATACATGTACTTATAGCCTCAGGCTAATAATTCCCAAGAGGATATGAAAGTGACTTCTGTATTTTACGGCATTGTGATTTCTTTTTTGAACACTCTGATCTATAGTTTGAGGAAAAAGGAGGTAAAAGAAGCTCTAAAAATGATGAGGAAGAAGTTCTTCTAGGTTGGACCCAAGTTTTTAAAGTTCAGCACATTCAAGCATTAAGTAGGGATGTTTGACCACCGTGTAATATTTCTGAAGCTGGGAACATGTTCACTTCTTAAGCCAATGCTATCTCTTTTTTAATGGATGAGTTCATAAAATGCAAGAAATATAGTAACATCTCATGGGCCTAATTTTCCCCTGAATATAGTTTGAGATATATGTCTCATACTGTCTGTACTTTATTGAGATTATTTAAATATTAGAAATAATGTACAGACTTCACAAAGTATTAGTTGCTTCTAATATGTTTCAGACATGTTCTTAAAGAATAGAAAACCTCAATTTTGTATATAATCAATGTTAAAATTGACGTTCATTATTATCTGTTCACTTATACGATATCCCTAAATTGTCTACAAAGAAACTCTTCATATGTTCTGTTCCAATCATTGCACAAGCCTGAATGTAAAATAATGTACTGACTTGGGAAAAAAAAAAAAAAGTAAAGGATCTTTTCAGACCCTGCCACTTTCCTTCGGGGGAAAAGCAGGAGGTCTTATGGAGTTTACCTTATTTTCCTTTAGGGATGGAGAGAACTTTTGTCGCAGACTTTTTGGCTGCTAAGTTCCCAACTCACCTATCAAGATAGCATTTCTTGGGGATGTTGAAATAATTAGATTATATATTAAGCTATGGTTTGGGGACTCAGTCTAAGTGATCCCTTTGGGGGCCTCTGGTTTTTTCTAACACCTCTTGACATAGTGGATGCTCAGTAGATGTTTATTGATTTTCTAGATTTGTATCTGAAAATGATTTAAAAGGTCACTGATAAAAAAAAGTCATGGATGAACTCAATTATTCAGTGCAGGGCCTTTTCCTACCCTTTCACTTATCTATAATATTTGATAATTTCTTTCATTAAATCTTTCACTTTTTTGGTATCATCTGAGTTCTCTTTTCACATCTCTGAGAACTCAGTTTCTTTTTGTTTTTGCCCCCATCCAAGATTGTGACATTCCTCAATTTCACCCCGGCACAAGGCATTTATATTTAGTGAGCAGTTGCTTATTTATTATTAAATTAACTGATGTGTAAAAATGCAGAGTCACACAGTCCTTTCTAGTGTACCTCAAATTGTGCCAAATACTAAATCATTGATTAGCTATTTTCGATTCTCAATACTCTTTTGTAGCCTAATTTAATTGTTGCATTCTTAATTGTTCATGAAAGGGAAGAGAAGGGCCGATATGATTTGATTTTTAAAGACTGGTGGCATTTATTTGAGATTCTTTATTAAATTTGTGAAGCATGCGTTTAACTTGAGGAAAATCCTCTCTTAAAAGTGAAAACATTTTTATGGCTCCGCAAGTCTCATATCATAGATATGATCCAATAGAGTAAAAAAATAAATTTGATGCTAACAAATATAATTGGATAAAAAATTTAATTTTTACTAAAAAAACTGCATATACATTTTACTTTTCAAAATATTCAACAAATCCATTTATATTTAAAACTTATAGGGTAAATTACTAATTTCTTAAAACTTTTCAGAAAAAAATTTATTTTCTCCATAATTTCTTTGATGTCAATCAAAATTGTAAAAATTTCACTGTTTTCTAAGATTTTGTTGCATTAAAAGTAAAATGAAAATAATTTTACATATTTTAATTCTTACTAATTCATGAGAGGATTACATTACAGGGGAGAATTGTCATTTGTTGAGTGTATTGATAGTTTATTTGCATGTATGTATATACACACATAAACATCATATATATGAATAAAATATTTAGACTGCATATTAAATATTATGAAAACATTTCTATGATTTTATGATTATTAATTATAATATTCTTATAAATAGGGCAGTTTTTTAAATTGATTGTTCTTAAAATATGCTTCAACTTATTTGTTTTGTTAAAGTATTTCAAAGTTTAGTTGGTACAATTAAGTACTCCATCTTGGAAATTCATATTAGCAAAGATAAGACTTTCTTTTGAAATAAAAATAACACGATGCCAAGAATTTTTATTAATTTTAAACTTTTCATTCAATTCATCTAATGTCATATCTTTGTTACAAATACATCTGTTCATTGGTAAGCTTATCTTGGGAATGTTTATAATAACCAACTTTACTTTTATATTCATTTATTTTAGAAGTGAACCATTGCAATCAACAATGGTTTACATAAAGAGGTACAGATTAATTTAAAAAGTAGACAATTTGGAATGAGATACTGTCCTTCATTTGTTATCCATTACCATTAGAGAATGAGGTTGAAGCTACTTTCTGGTGGTAAAAGTAAGTTATACTATCCTCATAATCCAATCTGTGTGAATTAAATCTTTCCATGAGGAGATAGTCTGGTATAGTGGAAAGAGGACTACATTAGGTATAAGAACAACCACATTTAAATCTTAAGAACATTTGAGACTATGACCTTTGATTAATCATTTAACCTTGTTGTAGTTACTATTTTCTCATCTATTAGCAGTGAGATAAAATTGAGATAAAAATACCCTACCTATATTACACGCTTGTAAAGAAAATGAAGAGAAATAATCGATATAAAAACATTGACAAACATATTACCATGAAAACAGATGTTACTTGGTATTAATTATTGATATTCAAAAACTGCTAAGTTGCTGGTACCATGAGATAGACTCTGTGTAACGCTAATTGGCTATAAGGGAATCAGATCTTTGATTGTATTAATTATCGCATATTCAAACCAACTAGTCTAATAGGCTAAAGCCATTTCAGTACTTTGCATATATTTATAATGAAAGGTAACTTTTTCATTATTTTTCAGAAGTGTTTCACAAAATCTTGAGGATGCCAACTTTTATTGTGTGTTAGTAGAAGTAGTCATTATCCAGAGTTTATAATGCTTATCAAAAATCTATGGGACACTGGGTGTTATGCTATATGTGACAAATTGAACTCCAATAAAAAAAATTAAAAAAAATCTATGGGAATCTTTTTCATTTACTTCTAAGCCCTATGATATTACTAAACTAAATAAAGTGTATATAATATTAAACAAACCGCAAATGTTTACTGATGTTTTCTTTGTTATTATATTTTACTGTAAGCATTTAAACCTTGTATTACATTATGTTTCAGGGACATGGATTCTTAGGTTCATCAGGAATTCCAGGCCTTCCTCCACCACCTCCATTGCCAGGTGGTGGGACATCCCCACCCCCACCACCTCCACCAGCACCACCTCTACCTGGCGGACCTCTCCCTCCTCCTCCACCTCCTTTACCTGGAATAATTGGTATACCACCACCACCACCACCACCTTTGTTTGGGGGACCTCCTCCACCACTTCCCCCTGGAGGAGGAATTCCTCCTTTTCCAGGAGAACCACTTGATCTGCCGTATGGGATGAAGCAGAAAAAAATATATAAACCTGAGGTGCCCATGAAGAGAATCAATTGGTTAAAGGTGATTATGACTATGACTAGACTAGATTATTTGACCAGCTATTTTTATGACTAGATTATCTTTGGCTTTGTCCAGCCATAGTTGATAATTAATATATGATTAACTATTGCTGCATATAAGTATTGTATAATGCTTGAGACTGTGACTGCTGATGCTTGCTTTCCTTTGTGAGTTTACAATCTTATGTTTATCTTTTAGTCTAGTACCCTGAGAATTGGAAACTCCACAGATAATTTGAAATTAATGTAGAAGTCAAAAGGAAAGCTGAAGTGAAAATGGTGCTAGAAAATAAGATATAAAATATATTTCACCAAATGAATCATTTTAATTCTGGTACTGCTGTTAAGTACTACAACATTCTTAAATATAATCTTTATTATTATTAAGCCTTTCTCTATTAGTTATTTTTGTTGTTAGGGAATGGTTTTTTTGTTTTTGTTTTTTATTTATCAGAGAGAGATTGAGAGAGCGCACAAGCAGAGGAAGGGGCAGAGCGAGAGGGAGAAGCAGACTCCCACTGAGCATGACCTGAGCGAAAGTCAGATACTTAACCAACTGAGCAACCTAGGTGCCCCTTTTTTGTTTTAGCTTTAATATTTAGATTGTATGGAATAGGTGACAGCATTCAGTAGTGACATAACCTAATTACTTTCTTATGTAATGTATGAAATGTTCTTATTCCTTTTGAATGTTATTTCCTTGTTTTTTTTTTTTTTTTTTTTTTTTTTTGGAGAGGGAGAGAAAGGGTGAGAGAGAGAGTACAAGGTGGGAGAGAGGCAGAGGGAAAAGATGGAAAGAGAGAGAATCTTAATCAGGTTCCATGCCTGAGTCCAACACGGGGCTTGATCTCAAGACCCTGAGATCATAACCTGAGCTGAAAAAAAGAGATAGACACTTTACTGACTGAGCCACACAGGCACCCCTATTTTGCTTTACTTTTATTAGAATATATCTCGTGAAAAGCTTATTAACAAGACTGACACAGCCATTATTAGGAACTAATCTTCTAATGAAAATACAATTACCCAGACCACCATTTGGGGAAATGGCTCATCCGAGAACATACCTGGAGTAAAATATGACAATATCTACATAGTAAATTAGTTTGACCAGAATCATGATTAAACCAGTTTTTACATTGAGAATATAGTTATGCTTTGTTCATAAGAATAAATGAGGTACAAATGTTTTTAAAATGTAGTTATTTTTTATAAGGTATAATTCACCAAACTATAGGATCCATATGTTGTTGGTCTAGTTATCTCTGTGTGGTAAATGTAATGATATGTTCATTTAGCATTTAAGCATATAGTAAAATGGTATTATAACACAAAGCATCATGATGTACTGGAAAATGTACAGTTCTAATCTTAGGTTTCAGTGTAGTGGTTACGAGCACAGTTTTCTAGAGGAACACTGGCTGGGTTTAATTTCTATCTTTGCCATTTACTAGTTTGGACACCCAAAGATGGTTCCTCATTTTAGCATGAAGATAATAATATGTCCTGCTTCAAGGGATTTTTATAAGGATTAGATTAGGTAATATATGCAAATCACTTAAAACGGCACCTGACACATTAGAGGAGGTATGTATGGTTTCAGCTATTATAATTATTTCCTTCACCCTGGTCAGTAAACATGGAGAATTAATTCACTTTTATGAATTTAGTTTCCTAATTTTTAAAAATCTAGGAGCAGAAAAAAAAATGTATGTGAGTTGGGAGATTTATTAAAATATTTTTAAGATCCGTTTCATTAGAGTCATTAGAATATTTAAAATCTAATTTGCTATATGGCTAATTGCTGTTGTGTATCTTTTATATACATTAATAAAATTTCCTGACTTCCTCAATGAATATTTACTTAAAATTATTTTGATATACCCTAAAATTGATTTAGTAGGTAGATAAATAAAGGAACTATCATTCAACCTTGGTAAAACTGAATTCTTTGAAGAACTAAATATGAAATAATAATTTAGAAGCTTGTCTTTGTTATTTTTGTTTCAGATTGAACCCAAAGAATTATCTGAGAACTGTTTCTGGTTAAAAGTTAAGGAGGACAAGTTTGAAAATCCAGATCTCTTTGCAAAATTGGCACTGAATTTTGCTACCCAGAAAAAAGGTACTTTTCATTTTTAAAAATATAACTTTCTTTTTCTGATTTATTGAATTCAGTGCTTCACTAAAAATTTCTATTGTGTACATGTATAATTTTTTCATAGTGGACAGAGTCAAACATAAATAGATTAACTTATTTCTTGAATATTACCCATCAAGTAAAGGAGAATTGCTCATTTTCTTTTTCAAAAAATTTGTATGTATTTAAGAAAGACAGAGAGTGAGAGAGTGCATGAACAAACAAATTGGGGGAGGGGCAGAGGGAGAAGGAAATGGGACAAGCAGACTCCTCGCTGAGAGAGAGCCGGACATGGGGCTTAATCCCAAGACCTCAGATCCTGACCTGAGCTAAAGTCATATACTTAACCAACTGAGCCACCCCAGCACCCTTCTTTTAATCGTATTTTTCATAAATGTTATTAATCATCTGAAAATATTGGATTGTGTTTATTGTTTAATATGTGAGTTATAGCCTTCTACTATAGGTATTTTTACTTAGAAGCAGGGGGAATAAATTTGTTGATTTACTATGTAAGAGAAAAAAATGTAATAGAATAGTAATGGCCCAGAAGTTTTCATGAAATTGGAATAAAATTTGGCTCATAGTGCATAAATAGCCTTTCCTCTTATATTTGTACTACTTATCAATTTATTTTCATAGGAGATTTTACAGCTTTTTCCTATAAGTGAATTTTCTGGAATAATATAAAAGTCTGGTACCTAATAAGTATATTTTACTTATATGATAATAGAATGCGTTATGATTAGATACTTAATCTCTTGTGAATTTCACACATAATTTTGATACTATATAAGTAGGTAACTTCTCAGTCTCTCTTAATCATTGGGGCTTTAAGGTTTTGGCATTTTAACTACTGTTTTACTAATTATTACAAAATTAATAGTTTAGATAAACATAGGATCTTTTAAGTCTGGATAAGTCTTCATAACTAAGAAGTTGATAAATTCCATATGCTCATGCCCTTGGAATTGGCAGCTTTACCATTTATTTGTATGATTTGTCTCAATATGCCATAGAATGTGAGAATCTGAATTTTCCAAGATTGAGAGACAGAGGGAGACCAAGGGAGAGAGAGACGAAAAATACTCCTTTTCAGAACTTCTATCATATCTTGTACATTGGAGGTGCTTTTGCTGTATTTGTTGTTGCTTGTAGATTGAAGTTCACACACATATACACACACAAATCAGAGGTAATTAGAAGAAATTTGAAATTTTAAAAATTCCTGGCATTAGTTCTCTTTTTTTCTTATAAGTAACCTTCACATTTAAAGTTTTTTTCAGTGACTCCAGCAACTACTATTTATTATAAACTCTTTTTTAAATTAAAAAAGATAAAAATGTTTGTATCATGGTATTTATATAGTAAAAAAATGTAAAAAAGGATGCATGATAAGCTTATCCCTTCCATTTCAAATTTACAGCTTCTTCCTCAGAGAAAACCACTGTTAGTAATTTCTCACACAGCCTCCTAGAAATAGTACATGCTTCTAGATGCATATGTGTATTTGTCATTTTTTGCTTTTTACTTCTTGCTGTTTTCACTTATATACTTGGATGTTATTCCATAATAGCTTGTTTTCATCTACTATGTTTCTTGTGCATACTCCATAGAGTTTGATGTTACGGACTTACCCTGATTTATTTAATCGGTCCCCAGTGAGTGGATATTTAATTCCAGTCTTTTTTGATGTTTCAAGCAATGTTGTGATGAATATGTATCTACATATACCTTTGGGCATGTAGGATCTATTAGTAGGGCAAATTCTAGAAATGCAATTCCTGGATAAAATGCTGGGTACATTAATAATTTTGATATAGATTACCAAACTGCCTTCCAAATGTTTCTGTCTATAGTGGCACCTAAAATATATATGATATCTGTTTCCCTGAAACCTTTGTCCATCTCAGAGGTAAAAATGGTAAAGAAACCATTTGTGTTATAATTTTGACTCTTTAAATTCAGAGTGAAGTTGAACAGCTTTTCTTACATTCAGAGGCAATTTTTATTTACTTTTCTATAAATGTTTCCCTCCAATTCTTTACACATTTAATATTGAGCAGTTGCTCTTTTACTTATCCATGTATTTGTATTGAGTCCTGGAAGAATCCGAGATTTCATGAAATTTTAGATTTAGTCTGGACCTTAAAAGTGATTCAGTCCAGACTATGTTTTACAAATGAAGAAAATGATGTTTGAGACATAGAGGTAAATATAAAATCCATTAGAGAGTTTCTAAAGGTAGTGTGATATACTAGAAAGAGCCAGAGGAAATGGAGTCACACTTATTTCATTCCAGCTGTAATATTTGTAACCTTTGAGACTGAATTTTCTCATCTATAAAATGAGTAGACTAATGTTTATCTAGTAGTGTTGTGAGAATTAAATAAGGTTATATATTTAAAGCACCGAGCCCAGTGTTTAGTATAGTAGGCACTTAACAAGTATTAATTCCCTTTTCCCTTTCACTTAACATGATATTGTGTGTGTGGTGTTTTTCTTTAGTTGTTTACACTTAATACAGCTATTAATTCAGCAAGAGAATTCCCTGCTCTTCTGAGCAGCACTTGGTAGAGCCAATCAGTTACCAGTCAAGGTAGCCAATCAAGGTAGAAGCACTATTATTGCAGCTGCTAAAACCTAATGAAAATTATATAAAGGCTCTCATCTAATCACTGCTAAAAACACTGCATTCCAGTTCTTAGCTCTGATTCTCTGAATTTTATGTGTGATACTATTACTACTTCTACTGTCCTAATTTTGAATATTTGAATACAGATCAGGTCAGGAGCACCTTTCAGTAATATTACTTTTACTAAGATATATTTTTCAAAGGGACATTTAAAGGAACAATTAAACATCATAGCATATTCCCGACATAAATAACATAGCCAAAACAAATTTTAATGATACAAAACTCCCATTTATTTTAATGACACTTAGTAACTATTGATTGATCTTACTATAACAGCTTTAAGTTCCTTGTCACTTACAGTGTCTTAATTCATAATTTGGCCAATAGGTGACAGGATCAGTAAGAAATCAGGAGGCTCTGGTTCCAGTGAACTCTAAACACACTTCCCTGCCATCCCTCGCTCCAGAAACCACTTTCTTTCACATTTTGCTTTTTTTTTAAAAAAAAGATTTTATTTACTCAGGTGAGACAGAGAAAGACAGCAGGAGCAAGTACAGAGGGAGAGGGAGAAGCAGACTCCCTGCTGAGCATAGAGCCTGATGCAGAACTTGATCCCTGGACCCTGAGATCATGCTGAAGACAGATGCCTGACTCAGCCACCCAGGGGCCCCTCTCATTTTGCTTTTGTTTGCCATTCACTCAGTTGCATTCTGGAAGGAGGAACACACTTATTGTTTCTAAGATGTATTTCCAAAACTCTTAGGTCCAGCATTCCAAAATATCTGAGAATTTTCTTCTATTGCAAAGGGTTTGGATAACTCAGGTCCTGTTCTCCCTAAATGCTCTGAAAGCATTACTAGTCTATGTTAAGACAATGTTTAACTTAGGAGTTAAAAGTGCTTCAGATTGAGGAATAGAAAGTGCTTCAGATTGATGAATAGAAATGTTTTAAGATTTTATTTTTTCATTTGAGATAGATCACATGAGCAGGGAGCAGAAGGAGAGGGAGAAGCAGGCTCCTTACTTAGCAGGGAGCCCAAGGAGGAGCTCCATCCCAGGACCCCAGGATCATTACTCAGGCCAAAAGCAGATATTCAATAGACTGAGCCACCCAGGCAGTCCAAGAAGTTTTTTGTTGTTTTTCTTTAAGATTCATTTATTTGAAAGAGAGAGAGAGAGAGAGACAGAGAGCACTCAAGTGGGAAGGAGAGAGAGAGAAAGAGAAAGAGAATCTGCAAGCAGATTCCCTACTGAGCTGGAGCCCCACATGGGGTTCAATCTCAGGACCCTAAGATGATGACCTGAGCTGAAATCAAGCTACTGAGATAGCTAGGCACCGTGAAAAAAGTTTTAAAATCCCTCCAATTCCTATAATATTTAAGTGTTTAAATATTTAACATGTGAAATTACTATCAAATTCTACTTTCGATTTGAGTTACTTACAGATAGAGAAAGCGATTTTAACTTTTCTATTAATAAACCAAATTATTTCTAATTTAGGAGAGAATGGAGCTCTCATTTAATTTAATTTATATTTGTAAAGTACTGAGTATATGTAAGGTAATATACTCGGTGGGAGAGAGAGGATTGAATAAGATCTTGTTCTTCCTACACCAGGGAACTTACCATCTAGAGAGGGAGAGAGGAAGATGTACACTACATTTAGTCAAGTTGTATTAAATGTTAGTATAGATATATTTTTTTAATGATTTTTAAAAAGATTTTATTTATTTATTCATGATAGACATAGAGAGAGAGAGCCAGAGACACAGGCAGAGGGAGAAGCAGGCTCCATGCCGGGAGCCCGACACGGGACTCGATCCCGGGACTCCAGGATCATGCCCTAGTCCACAGGTGCTAGACCGCTGAGCCATCCAGGGATCCCCTAGCAAAGATATTTTTTTTAAGTTTTTTTTTTTTTTTTTTTAATGATAGTCACAGAGAGAGAGAGAAAGAGAGAGAGAGAAAGAGGCAGAAACACAGGCAGAGGGAGAAGCAGGCTCCGTGCACCAGGAGCCTGACGTGGGACTCGATCCCAGGTCTCCAGGATTGCACCCTGGGCCAAAGGCAGGCACCAAACCGCTGCGCCACTCAGGGATCCCTTTTTAAAGATATTACTTATTTATTCATGAGAGACACAGAGAGAGAGAGGCAGAAACATAGGCAGAGGGAGAAGCAGTTTCCATGCAGGGGAACCTGATGTGGGACTCAATCCTGGGACCCTGGGATCATGCCCTGATCCAAAGGCAGACACTCAACCACTGAGCCACCCAGGCGTCCCTAGCATAGATAATTTTTAAATAGGAATGCAGAATGGAAATACAGTTAATTTTGAGGAGGAGGGCAA